TATGGAAGAAGGAGAAGAAAATAAAACAAATAAAAAGAAAAGCTAAAATGAAAAGGAAGATAAAATAAAAGGAAAGGAACTAAACTATAAAAAATTGAAATAAGATAAGATAAAATCAACTAAATCTTAAACCTAATATTAATTATTTTTATTTATTTCAACTAAGATATTTATAATAAATCTCCCAAATAATGCTTAAAATCAAATCTTCTGATTTTTTTTTTACTTTTCAAAAATCACTCAAAATATTCTCTAAATATATTAAAAAGAGAGAGAGTTATCAATCTTGCAATAATTATGAGATTGACCTTTTTTTTTTAACGGTCAGACGTAAATACGACGTTCTAAATTTGGCGTATTAAGAAAAGTTTTTTGAACTATATATAAGAATGATCAAATTTTCTCAAAATTTTTCGTTTTATTCCTCCTTATATTAATTCTACAATGATTATTTTATGTTCCAGAATACGTATAATCAAATCAAATTGAACATATAATCAAATTAATTAAATTATTAATTTGAGCATATAATCTCATATGTTCAAGTTACCTTTTCCTTTTATGTTTCAAAGTATCCCAAGTATTCTATTGGCAGGGGGGCGGGAGTATCCCAAGGATTCTCCCTTTTTTTAATTAGCAATATAGTATTAGAATGCTTTACTTGGTGTGATTCTTTTCATGCTTACAAATTTACAACACATTGAAGAATTACAACTAAATAAAGAAAGGAAAAATAATCCGAGAATTAACTATTGGTCTCGACTCTCGAATATTAATAGAACATTATTTTATATTTTAATCAAATCAAGTTGAACATATAATCAAATTAATGATGAACACTTCATGCTGATCAAAGATGAGCATGAAATGTGCTCTCACTAATTTCACTTCTATCATTGGAATTTTTAGGCTTTCTAAATTTCAAAAGAGAGATAATAGATGTAAAGATGTCACTGAAATTAACTGGTTGGGTTTGGAGAGCCTGATAATCCATCCTTTTGATCCTAACAACAAGAAAATGCGTAAGTGAACTTGAAGCAGCATTTTACCTCAAAATCTTAATACTTTACGTTTTATTCAGCTTGACTCACTTAAATACATCGTAGATCTTCAGAAAAAACATAAATTCTTCAGCCTCCTCCGATATTTGAAATGAGAATAGTAGCGCTGGTAAAAAAGAAAAGAAATGAGAATAGTAGTGTGTGTGTGAGAGATTATTTTGACTACTAAATTATTCTCGTAGTGATTGTATAAAAATTATATTTTTTTTTATAAACACTTATATATTTAATATTTTATTTCCAATTAATAGTATAATCACTCTTGTACCCAATATTGCTATATATTTTGTACATATTCTTTCGTCAATACTAAAATATTTTAAATATGTTTTTGTTTGACAGGTTGTATATCATATCATTGTGCTCTTTATTGTTTGTTCTCCTTCAAGTCAACGAGGGGAAAGGAAAAAAGACAGAAAAAGCAATTTCTTTGTCATAGCTACAACTTCTAAATATCCACAAAAATTTAAAAAGGTGAGAATATATGTTGGTCTTGTTTTTTTCACGTATATTTGTCTTTCATTGGAAATCATATTAGCCATATTCCAACATCTTATATATTATATATTATATAATAGCACCAATTTTCACTAAAAAGGAAAGAAAATCAACTTTCACTGAAGATTTTCAATAAAATGACTCTATAGAAGTCAGTTAGTCAATCAATCAATTATCAATCATCATCAATCAATTAGATTCCTAAAAACTTGTAATACCCTATTCGTTTGAAAATGGATTAGGTATATGATTATAGGATCCGAATATATTCAACGAACGAGATTTAAATAACATCGTGATTGAAATTTGAATATATTGAATTAAATAGGAAACATTATAAATAAATGCAATTTCAAATAAAGATTCCAATGAAGAAATTAATAATATACTTTGAATTTGAATAATACCTTAATTGAAATCTGAATATATTAAATTAAATGGGGAGTATTATAATTAAATAGTATATAAATAAGAGGCTTAAATGGAGAAACAAATAATTAATTTCAAATTTTCATCTATTTTCCATAAATTTCACATCTCTGATTCAAATTTCATTAAAATGAATAAAAAATATATTCCTATTAGAAGTAAATTTTAAGCTATCTTAGATAATGCAATTTATTAAAATTTTAAATATAATCAAAGATGCTAATCCGTGCATCGCAGGGGTGAAATTTCTAGTTGCCAGCTAAAACCTGTCTTCCAGATTTATTGTTGCTAAGAGTCTTTCGGCCAAAAAAAAAAAAAGACCTTTACTAGAGGCCTCTAAAATATAGCAAATAAAAGGAAAACTTTTAAGGGCATCTTTCTAAAGTTGCTACTGAAAAGTAAGCTATCAGTGGCAACATTCTAATTAAAGGGGCACTAAGGAATTAATTTCTAAAAAATAAAAACATCTGTATATAATAACAACAGTAGCAAAGTTTTATCCAACTAGATAGGGTAGCTATATAGATCAAATGATGACATTGAGGTTTAATTGCCAAATCTTTGGATAGGTTAAGAAACATCTATGTATAAGTGAAGTTATAAAACTGTGGGAAGGTTGCTGATTGAAACACTAACCTTTCAAAGCCTTCGATTTTCCAAATTGTGGGATGAAACCGAACTTTTGTTCTAATAGTATAATTTGAGAGAAATGTCATACTTGCATATTAAAAGCTTGCAAGCAAAAACTTAAGAGAAGAATATACTGAACAATTGATAAATTAGAGTCGTGTTTGAAGAGAACATAAAGAGTATACAATTTAGAGATGTTGGAGAAGCGACAAAACTATTAACCTGATCTAAAGCAACAAAAAAAAGTCATAACTCGACAGAGGGAAATCACAAAAATATTGCATGATTTTGATATTACCTTAAAATTATAAATATATATATATCCTAATTTAGTCTATAGCATTTTCTTTTGTAACCAATAACTTTTTAAATACTTATTGTTAATTTACAATAAAGATACATTTTCAAAGTCAAGAAGACAAATACATATGATGTCATGTGTATTGTAAGAGTAAAATATATTAATTGGCTCTTTATTTTACCTAAATTATATAAACTCCCTTTGTACTACCTTTGGTCTTTAATATGTAAAAAATATTTAGTTAATTAAAAACTATTTAATTAATTTGACTAGATTAAAAATATTAGTTAATTAAGTTAGTTAGTTTTAATAAATATGAGTTGATTTTCCTAAAGCATGGTTTTAGTCATAACTACTCTTGAATTGAAATTCCCTTGTTAAAATCAATGGGATACTTTAGAGAATCAATTATAGATAAATATAGGAGACAAAATAAATTGATCTCTTATATTTAGGATTAAATCCAACTCCCAACTAGCTCTTTTATTAATGACTAGAGTAATACACTGTACAAACTTGCTCTTTTGCATTTGAAGTTTAACTTTTATCCATCCAACCGTTTGGTTTGTAAACTTTTATTTTGACATAAATACCTCTCCTTAACATAAGAATTGTTTAGTGATTTATATTTTAAAAAATAAGTTTTTATACAGCGAAATATAATTTTAATACATATGTTTTCAAACTTTCCAATATGTTATAAAATTTATTAATTTTGATTATATTATAAAATTTTATAATTTTAATTTTTCATCACAATTATTTAAACTTGATTTTTTTGTCGCATATTTTTTGAAGCTTTCTAATATGTTACAAAATTTATTAATTTTTCATCATTTGATTTAAATAATGTAAATTTGAGAGATTATATAAATCACTTAAATTTATATGTTATGGAGAGGGACCTTGGAGTCAAAAGGTTTAAGTAGGAGCAAAACAAAATATGCATTGCAAATTTGGGAGGAGACAAAACCATGGTGATTTGGAGGTGAAGATGGGAGATCAAATCATTCCTCAAATGTCAAAATTTAAATATTTAGGATCCATTGCATATGAGAATGGTGAAATTGATGGAGACGTTCCTGATAGAATACAAGCTGGTTTGTTAAAGTGGAGGAAGGCTATTGGAGTTATTTGCGATAAGAAGGCACCTGAGAAGCTTAAAGAAAAATTTTATCAGACTGCTATAAGACCAGCTATGTTGTATGGTAGTGAATGTTAGACAATAAAGAGAAAACAAGAGCATAAAGTTGGGGTAGCAGAAATGACAATGTTTGAGATGGATGTGTAGTCATACAAAAAAAGATAAGATTTAAAATGAAAATATCAGAGCAAGATAGGTGTGGCGTCTATCAAAGAGAAAATGGTTGAACATTGCTTGAAATTGTTTGGGCATGTGCAGAGAAAGCTATTGGAGGCCTTAGTGAGAATGGTAGATCAGACAGTCTGCAGTCCTATAAAAAGGAGCCGAGAAAGACCGAGAAGAATGATCAATAAGGTCATTGCCTGAGACCTTCTAATCAACAACATATTTAAGGATTTGGATGTTGATAGAGCACATTGGCGTCATGTAATTCATATAGCTGACCCTACTTAGTAGGATAAGACTTTGTTATTGTTGTTATTACTAACATTTATAAACATATTTTGTCAATTATTATTTATTTAAAAAATTAATCAAAATTTCAATTAAGGTTTTTTCTCCTTTAACTAAATTACTTAATTATCTGTTGCAGTATTATAAAAAAAAAATTAAACAACTAATTATTTTTCAAAATTAAAAAAATAAAATAAAAGGAAAAATCTTAAATTTTTTGAAACAGTTTTATTTAAAATTACAGATTTAATATGAGGAAGGATAAATTAGCAAAGAAATAGTATTTTAAGATAAATTTTAATTGGAAAACATTTTTTTAGAATATTGGGAAAATGACAAATAAAGAAGGCTGAAATAATAAAATGCCAAAATGGGAAGCTAAGCAAATGTATTACCAGATAGGGAAGTGTTGCCTGATTTGGGATTATGCAAATGTTGCACAATTACGAAAACAGCCCCTCATATGCAAACCGAAAAAGTGACCGGTGGAAGTGTGCAAGTTGTGGCGGGAGCTGGAGGAAAAAGTTGGGAGGGACCACGAACGTGGGAGCATGAACGCGCGAAGCAACAACTGAACGACGGAAGCGAGGTTAGTATCCAGTGACTATATTGTTCGCCTCTGTCTTTTGTCCCTCTCCTTTATGCGCCGGTTGATTTTCCTCTTCCCGTTGGATGGCAATGTCGTCGATGTGGGGATGGTTTTGAGGTGGAGAGGGTGGCGAAGCATGGAGACGGCGTGGGTATATAGAAAGTGTGGGGGGAAGGACGGTGATCAGAGGGTGAATGCACGGGGAAGGAAAAACACTGAGGGAGAGGGGTTTGATGGCGTCACAAGTGGGTTAGAGTGATTAGTGTCAGATAAATGGACAATGTTGGAGGGAGATTCGAATAATGGAGTGGATTGATTCTGAGAAAATGAAGCATTAGTGTGGACAGGAAAGAAATGATTGTTTTGTTGCAAATTATAAGCATGAATGTGTCAAACCCTAAGTTGGTCGTGTAAGTTGATGATGATGGTATTAAGTCATATAATCATTCGACTTCTGTTATGTTATCAGTGCAGGTAATGAAGATAAATGAATTTCGAAGCTGGGTCATCTTGTGGGAAGGAGCTGTTCTGTTATTTTCATGTGGGGGGGAAATTTGTGACAAATGGTGAAGGTGAAGTGAGATATAATGGAGGTGGCGTGAGGTTAAGAAGCATTAAGGATGGGCTGACACTTGATGAATTGAGGCTAATGATATCTGAGTGGATTGGTGGCGATGGAAGAAATTATGACATTAAGTACACAGTGGCCTTTGATGAGAAGACATTGATTGACCTTCATGACAATGCTGAAATGTATAACCTCTTTCAATACAATGGGAACAGCGGTCATGTGTATGTGGCCGAAAAAAGACAAGTGGGTCCCCAACCAAGGGACAATGTAGAAATGTAAGTGGAAGTTTGTCCTAACTATTTGTTGTCATTTATGAATTTCTTCTTGTCATTTGTGTTAACGAGTCTTGTCATTATGAATGCAGAACAGAGAGATTCATGGGCATGTCACAGCAAACGGAACTGGATGCGTCTCCCATTAGTTTGTGTTGTGATTATGGCTGGCTCAGTGAAGAAAATGCTCGTGAATGTGACAATGATGAAATAAGTGGGCCCCCTAATGTGGATAAATCTATCGGAGCTGAAGATACGGATGGTAGTGAGATGGTTCATGCGGAATGGAGGGGACTTTTAACAGGAGTGGGCCAACGTTTTCCTAGTGCAGATGTATTTCGGGTGTCTGTATACAAGTTTGCACTTGCAAACAAGTTTGTGGCCAAGTATATGAGGAATAGCAAGGAATTCATGTCGATAAGGTGTAAAGTTGAGGGTTGTCCATGGAAGCTATGTGCAAATCATGTGGGGAAGAGTTGTGATGTGCTACGAGTGACGACATTTATAAACCGGCATGTTCATTCTGCCCAAGATAGCTTGGACGTGATGCATAGTGGAAGAGCTAGTTTGAACTCATCAATAATAATTGATGAGATGAGGGATCATGCAGACAAGCGCACTTCTGAGATAAGGAAGAGGTTGAAACGAGAGTATGGGATTGATCTAACATATAAACAGGCTTATAGAGCAAGAGAGAAGTCACTGGAAGACATATATGGCAGGCCTGAACAATCATACATGCTCATACCATGGCTATGCGAAAGGATAAAGGAAACAGATGAAAAATCAGTGGCTGAATGGACTGCTATTGGGAACCGGTTTGAGCGTGTTTTCATTGCCTACGGGCATGCATTGAGGGTTTCTTGGGTGGCGCGAGGCATATTATGTATGTTGATGGAACTCACTTAAGCGGACCATACAAGGGGACAATGTTGTCAGCTTCAGCTTATGATGCAGATAACGAGCTGCTGCCATTTGCAATTGCAATTGTGAAGGGAGAAACACTAGATGACTGGACGTGGTTTTTCTATATGATAAAAAAAATCCTGGGTTCTGTGGAAGTAACGATTGTATCAGATCGACACAATGCTATCATCGGAGGAGTGGCATCAATCTTTGGGGGTCAAAGGCATGCCTTTTGTTATAGACACATCAAGGAGAATTTTAGTTCAGAAGTTATGAAAATGAATAAGGGGCAAACAAGGACAAATGGCCGATCAAAGGAGGATGCACTATATTTATTGGATAAAATTGCATACGCAAGGACGGATGAGAAATTTGAGGCAGCAATGGATGACATGAGATCCTTTTCTCCAAGGCTATTTGATTGGCTTATTCATCATGGGGATGTAGATAGGTGGGCTAAAAGTAGGTTCCCATATAAAAGATGGGACAATATTACAACTAATATAGCAGAATCATTCAATGCATGGATGGTGAATGAGAGAAAGCATACTGTACCCCAATTGATCTATGAGCACCGAGATAAAGTTGCAAGAAAGCTGCATGCCTCCTATGTGGGTATGACCAAATGGAAGAATTGCGTTGGTCCAAATATAGAGAGTAAGGTGGTGGGTCTGACCATATGTATGCTGAAAATTATGGTGGGGGAAGAGTGAAGGTGACAACATCACGTGGAGACCATCGGGTTGATCTTGGACTACACCAATGCAGTTGCAGATCTTGGCAAATGACGGGGATCCCTTGTTCCCATGCTTGTGCTGCCATCAAGATTGTGCACGGCAATGTTTATGATTATATTGATAATTGCTATAAAAAGTCATCACAAGAAAAGATCTATGCTCGCAGTATGATTCCTGTGGTAACAACAGACATGCCTCACCCAAATGACTACTATAGAATAGAAAATGTCAGTGAGCAAGTTTTCTTGCTACCTCCCATGACATCCCGACCACCAGGAAGGCCAAAAGTAAACAGGGATGAATCACAGTTCCAGAACAAACGGATATACCACTGTGGAAGATGCCACCAGCCTGGACACACAAGGAGGAATTGCAGAAATCCTAACCCATCATGAAGTTTCGAGTACAGTGGGGATGGGTCATTTTTTGGTGTACATAGTTGTATGCTCCGCCCTTGTCAACTTTTTTGGGACTGGGGTTGTAGTTAGGAGCTAGGTGGAGACATTTTTTTGTAAGCTGATAGAAATTTCAGTGATAACGGAGCATTAAGTGTGGCTAGTATCTTAATGTCCACTTGTTGAATACATGAAAGGAAGTTACTGTTATGGGGATGTTAGCTTTTGTTAATGGCGCATTACTTGTTGTCATTTTTAAATTTGTTCTGGTCATTGGCAGTGATGCTATCAGCATAAGCTGACAGCCGTGTTGAACTGATGTTGTAAAATCAGACCAGGTGATCCTTGTCATTATCGCTGTCATATTCGCTTCACATGGTGTCATTTTTAAATTTGTTCTGGTCATTGGCAGTGATGCTATCAGCATAAGCTGACAGCCGTGTTGAACTGATGTTGTAAAATCAGACCAGGTGATCCTTATCATTATCGCTGTCATATTCGCTTCACTGGTGTCATTTTTAAATTTGTTCTGGTCATTGGCAGTGATGCTATCAGCATAAGCTGACAGCCGTGTTGAACTGATGTTGTAAAATCAGACCAGGTGATCCTTATCATTATCGCTGTCATATTCGCTTCACTTGGTGTCATTTTTAAATTTGTTCTGGTCATTGGCAGTGATGCTATCAGCATAAGCTGACAGCCGTGTTGAACTGATGTTGTAAAATCAGACCAGGTTATCCTTATCATTATCGCTGTCATATTCGCTTCACTTGGTATCATTTTCTGTTGGATACCAACAGGATATATTGAAGTAAAATTTAGTGACCTGAACAAAAAATGAAAACCAATAGCACATGTCCAATGGGGTTGTTGTCATCATCTGTTTTTGTGTGGTTAAAACCAGATTCATTCATGTCACTGGGGAATAAATTGGCATCATGGTTCTCAACTATCATACATTTATGGACACCAATCTCTGTTAACCATAACAATACACAGTAAATTTTTGGTCAGCCTACAATGCACATTACATACAGCAATCTAACAGAGGACAAGTGAATTATGACCCTAACATCGAGACACCTAAGACCGACGCCTTTTCTTGGACTTTGTGCTCTTGGTTGGTTGTGGTCGTCGAATAAGGGCCAATGCCTCGTCACGTTTTTCATTCTGTTCATGATTGACCAACCACCATGTCAGGTCACGACGAAAGCCAGCAACTTCTTCCTCTGTGTAGGTAAGGGTCACACCAGGTTCCCATCTTCTCAGCCACATCATGCAGTGCACCCCACAATCCCTCCTGTGGACGCAACAATATCAGCACAGTTAGTTAACACATCTGACATGTGCATTTACCCCACAGAAATCGAATTTGACAAAACTGACAGGTTATTCTGCTGGGGAACTTCTGCAAATATCATGGGAGACATTGGCTTTTTCCCAACCAATCCTGGCTTGACCAAGTCCAGTATAATATTGAGCCTCATCCTCTGCAACAACATTCAGGACCAACATAGAAAGTTTAATGATTTTCCAAGTTCAAAAACTAGGGTAAAGATAATGAGTTTTTTCTTACACAGTCATCCACAGCCATTTCCACTGGGTCTTTGATGACAACCTTCTTCTTCTGCTTTCTGTCCTTGGTTCCGAAATGGTTCCTCATGGAGTCTATTACGTGGAAATCCAATGTGCTAGGCTGAATGGCAACGCAAAACCAGTGTTGGCCAACAAGAGCAGGACCAATTATGAAATCACATTCAGCTAAGTTGTAGCCAAGGAACTCAGGAAGAAAGAGCTTCTTATATTTTTGGGCTTTCCAGGTTGGATCATGTGCCATCATGTTCTGCATGACATGAAATTGTTAATCCATTAACAGAGAACAAGTCATTTCCAATTCAATTGCTGTCATTGGTATTTGCATTTGGAATTATGCAACCTCACCATGAAATCAACATCGAAAATGTGCCTCTTCCCTGGCCCCAACTCTGCCTTCATGTCCTCCATCACTGCCTTGCACACCAAATTAAGCACCTACAGAACACAAGTGAAAACGTCATTCTGGTACAATAATCTCACCAAACATTATCAAACATAATCGTGGGTGCAGGGACAGAGCATTCTAAAATACCCTGTTATTTACTCTGTTCACTCCACCCAGGGAAAACAGCTGTTGTCGGTCTATATCTTCATCAAACATTTTGATGACAGTCCTGCAAACATTGTCAGATGTCAGTGACAGAAAGTATGGTGTTGGGGACATCAATACTTGTCATTCCCATGTATGTTATTGTCATTTTCAATTCTATTGCTGTCATTGTCAGGGCACACTGTGTCATTTAAAAACAAAACACTAGCTACGGATATACTTACATATTCCCCTCTTCCTCTCCCTTGGGTCTACGGGATATTAAAGTGAAAAAGATGTCCCTTTCCTCCTTTGGCCTCTTCGTCCTCGGAGCTGCCTTGAATTCTATCCACGGAGATTTAATTGTGGAACTCTTTGCCCTTGTTGACCTCCTAAGGTCAATCGATTTTTCAGGCCCTCCTTCCTCCCCACTGTCATTGCTCACCCATTCTCGATCCAACAGCAAAGGAACATTGGTAGGGGTCATTGTCAGTACATGTGTAGCTTCCTCACCCTCATCATCTGAATCCCGAACCTCCTTATCATCATCTTCGGCCTCCTCAACCACATAATCATGACTGACTTCCATGTCATCATGGTCATCTTCCTCCTCATCAACCACATGACCTCCTTCCCTGTCATCATGGTCATCTTCCTCCTCATCCTCATCGTCGTCGTCATCACCTCCATGACCATCACGGTCACCCTCTTCTTCCACCTCCTCAACCATGTAATCATCACTGACTTCCCTGTCATGAAGGTCATGTTGTTCTTCATCCTCATCCTCATCCTTCTCATCATCTCCTTTGCTGGTTTCATCCTCATCAAGTTCCTCATCTGCACTTCCCGCTGCAACCTCTCTTGCAATCTCCTCCACCACTCGGTCAACATCATCAGCTTCTTCAGCATCGTTACCAGCTGCATCACCAACTGTTTCAACCCCTTCTTTAGCAGTGGCATTCTCATTCCCCATCCCCTTAACTTTGGCGTTCAATCCAATCTGCAGTTTGAGTAGCTCATCATCAAGAGCCTTCATTAACGTCCTCTGGCTTTCTTCAAGCTTCTTCACAAAACGAGCCCTCAACTCCTTCAATGCCTGCATACACAGTAAATGAAGATATCAAAAAAATTGTTCACTGTTATCAAATGCCAGTATCTCACTGGTCATTTCTAAATAAAGTCTTGTCATCTCAAGTATCAACCTTGCTAATAGACTGACTTAAACTCAGGTCACGTATATTTTCTAAGTTCCCACATACCGGATCTAAAGACTGCAAAATTGGACTGTCCTCATGTCCTGCTGAGTATACCTCGCTGCCACTGCTTCCATGCAATATTCCCATGCTGCTGCCTCTCTCTTTCTCCACCCTCTCCTTTATCTTCTCCTCGGTCCAATATTCAATGGCGCTTGTTGAACCCCGGTCAACAGACAATCCCAGCGGGAAACGCTCAACAAAATACAGCTGCAAAACCAAATAAAGATAGGTCACACTTCTGCAACAATAACAAAAGACAAAAATATAGTGAACCATAAGAAAAATATTGACTTACCAGCAGCAAATAAAGACACCCTCCAACATTGCAGGTTCCTTTCTTCTTCTTCTTTGTCATCTTCACAAAGTCTCCCATTTCCTTCCACAGGTTCTTGATTATGTACGTTGACCAATCATATTTCCCAAACCCATTCATCGTGTGACGCATCACTTTCAACAAACGTATATGTACAGTTGTGCTTGACCCAGGACATAGAAAAGCTCCAACTGTATAAAGCATAAATAGGAACTCAAAATTGTCGCTTTCTTCCCCAGATAATATCCTCTTCAGTATCTGGGTAAATGGAACCTTCCAATAAGTGTCCTTCAACCTCTTGTATTCCGGGTCATCCTCACTAACATCAGATTTCACTTCCTCCCCACTGTCAGGTACACCTAGAAACTCATGCGCATCTTTTGCCTCAATTGCCTGCCCTTGCCCTCTAATGGTCAAAAAATGCGTTGGTGGGTCATAGCATCTCAACAATGACACAAGTAGATCACGTGGAAGTTGCTTCACATTCACATTAAGCAAGTTCCCAAATCCCATCCTCTGAACTTTCTGCCTCAACCGCCTGTTCTTCTTCACATATTCAGCCAATGATAGAAATCCGGGCAATGAGCACCGGGTGTACAAGGGAACATCATACTTCTTCTTCTCACCTTTCTGTGGCTTCGTTTTCCTTGCCCTCTCATTATACCTATCTTTCTCTTCTTCACTCAGGGCCCTCCATGCCTTCCCCACTTCAATTTTTTCTTCTCTTGCGTTTTTACACTTCTCACCTCGTTTTGCCATATACTCCCTTCTGAACAACACAAGCCCACTGTGGACTCCTTTGCTTGTGGACCCTTCCCCTTCTTCCAACACCATCTCGTATAGTTCTGCAAAGTCATCAAGGTACCATCATTAAATCATAATTTTAATACATATACTACACATCTAGTTCTTTCCAGATTCGTTATGGTCATTTCCAATTAATTCATTGTCATTTACAATATGGCCATTACAGAGTGACAGTAAGGATGCTGGTATGAATATGGTCGTTTCCAGTTAATTTATTGTCATTACCAATATGCCCATTACAGACTAACAGTTAGGTCAGTACTATGAATATGGTCATTTCCAATTAATTCATTGTCATTTACAATATGGCCATTACAGAGTGACAGTAAGGATGCTGGTATGAATATGGTCGTTTCCAGTTAACTTATTGTCATTACCAATATGCCCATTACAGACTAACAGTTAGGTCATTACTATGAATATGGTCATTTCCACTTAATTCATTGTCATTACCAACATGGCCATTACAGTCTGACAGTAAGGTCATTACTATGAATAT